TTTTATGCCATATAAATGAATTCAAGGCAAAACTTGTGGTGCAACCAACAAACTTTACAAGTTAATTAAAGCATACATATATATATATATATATATATATATATATATAAATGAACGGGAGAGAATTTGTTTTGGAAGATAAAAGCCTCCAACCACGGACAGTTTACTAGCACTCCTCAACCACACGTCTTAAGAAAGTGATAGCGAAAGTGACCGATCAACTGAACCATAAGATATTTTGTGAAAACTATTTTAAAATTAAAAAGAAATTGAAAATGACGTAACAAAGAAAAAAAATCATGGAATTAAAACTTTTTTCGTTTAATTTTTTTTTTTACTAAATATAATGCAAAAATCTTAATACTCTTTACCAAAATTAGAAATATGGTCATAGATTTATTCTAAAAGTAGCATTTTAACATGTGGGATGCACCAATTGTTTTATTATATTTTTGTAACTTTAATTTTTTAATTCATTTTAATATTTATATTATCTTATAAAAGAATATATATTCATTTTTTATTATAAAAAATTAATTTATCACATCTTAATCTTAAAATTTTTATTTTAAAAAGGCATATATATTTATAATCTATTTGATTCATGATAAAAAAAAAAAAATTAAATTGTTTGATCCGTAAATTATAAATTATCTAAAGTGGTTAAAGAAATGTATAAAGTATAAAAATATTTTTACATGGTAAAAATAAAAAAAAAAATCTAAAGGGATTTATAAGCTATTTGATTTATGAATTATCTTACAATATTCTTTAAATAATAAATTACATAAATATACCTTGAAGTTTAACGTAACTTAAATTTGTTCCTTAAGATTTAAAAAATGATATTTAACTATCCTAAGTTATGTATCCGTACATTTCATTTGTTTTCATTAACACCGTTAACAACTATTCAATAAATCCTAGCTCTTTCCCTAAATTTTTTTTTTGTTTGCTATTTCTCATATTCAAACATTTCAAAAAAAAAAATTGAACTAAAAGTATGAATTTTTCATAATTTTCAGCAAGTGTGAGATCAAATATTGAAAACAAAAAACTAGTGTGGTGTGTGCTGCCAGTTAATCTTCTCCCTTTTTCCTCTTTCCATTTATATTTTAAAAATCTAAAAATTCTTAAAAAATTCAAACTGAAACCCACAGAAAAAAAAACCATTATTAATGAGTTGTTATGGCTGCTTTGTGGATTTGTGATTGCTTTGTAGGTTTACCGGGTGTGGATAATACAAAGTGAATTTGGGTTCTGTGAATTTTTTTTATGGCTACTGGGTTTGTTTTTGAATTTCTTCGAGGCTATGGTTGTCTTTGAAAATTGGTATGGCTACAAAATGAAAAATTGGTTATTTGTTTAATGCTTGATACAATTCCTAACAGCAAAAATTTAATTCCCAAAAAGAGACAAAACCTAGAATTTGCATACAAGTAGATAAGCAAAAAAAAAAAAAAATTGAAAGTCTTAACCAAGAGCAATCAACACAGACAAAGAACATCATTAACAAGAACATTTAAAAGCAAAATCAAAACTTTCGGTCTTGGTTTAAGATTGCATTTTTAAATTTGTGAAAAAAAATTTTTTAATGGTTTTGGATTTGGTTGTCTTAAAGGGTTTTTTTTTTTTTTTCAAACTAAGGAGAATAAGGCATTACTGGTAGAAAAAAGGTATGGTAACACAATGGGTTCTCTGACTTTAATGTTGGGATTTTCTTTTCTAGTTTATAGTGGTGGTCATTGGTGATGAAGGATGATAGTGGCAACCAATAGTGGTAGCCCAATAGATGGTGATGGTGAGTTTTTAACGAAATCTGAAATTTTATTTTCTTCAATTCTAAAAAGAATGCATAAAACATAACTTAGAGAAAAAGAGCTGTTGCAAAATAATAATAATAAATAATAATAATAATAATAATAATAATAATAAAGCATTAAAGATGGAAGAACCAAAGGAAATAAGTTTTATTGAAGGACTTTTATAGAGGGAGAATTCATTTGATTTTAGAAAGAGAGAATGAATTGAAAATAAAGAAGAAGAAAAAAAAGAAAAAATAATGGTTTAAGTAAAAATATAATAAAATAAATTATAAAATAATTAAATATCACATTTTAAATTTCAGAAGACAAACTTAAATTCGTTTAACCAAAGGTATTTATATGTAATTTACCTTTCTTTAAAATAGTGAAAGTATATAGTTACAAATACTAAACCAAAGATGATAATATATGATATAATCAAATTGAATATCTTTTGAGTTATTTATCTTAAAATAAAAGCAAAAAAACAATATCTTTATCATTGGTATCTCATCAATTTACCAAAAACAATTATTCATGGATTGAAACAAGCAATAAGATTATCATTTTTCCTTTAATAATGATAGTATTTATTTTATCATAACCAAATTGTATGATCTCAAAAATTAATTCATAATAAAACAAACTATTTCTAAAATATATGAAGAATGTGAAAAGTAAAAGAAATAGCGTATCTTGATAATAGGTTAAAATGAGAAAAAAAAATCACCAAGAATCTAAAATAGTACAATTAAAAAAAAAGATATCCTAGTAAGTTATATTTTAATATAAATTTCTTGAAAAACAAAAATATTTTAATAAACATTTATGAATATACCATCACTTTGTGATAAAATGATCAAAACTCTAAAACAAAATAAGCAAAAAAAAAAAAAAGTTAGTAAATGAGCGTTAAAAAAGTGAATTGAAATAAATATTAGTTTTTTTTATAAAAACAAAAATATAAAACTAACAGTATATCATTGGAAAAAAGTTATAAGTTGAACAAATAATAATAGTGTAACACATACTATTTATAGGTTTATTGTATAACAATTAAGTGTATAGATAATTTTCAATTTGATAAATATATTTTGAATTTACGAAATATAATAAGTGATTTTTATCTTTTCAAATTTTAAAACGTTTAAAAAATAAATGAATATAAAAAATTTATAAAGGTAAAAATATCTAATTTTGAGATTTTAAAATTTTAAAAAAGAGATATATTTACATAACTAATGAAATATGAATTAAATAAGATTAACTTTTAAAATTTAAAATTTATATTATTATTTACTTTTTATTTTAAATGAATAATTTTATTTATTTAATTATTTTAAATTTAAATTGATCGAAATAAATGTTAATAATGTGAAATCAACACTTAAAAATTTAAAATAAAAATTTTATGTAAAAAGATATAACTAAATTGGGACAATTCCTGCAATAAAAAATAATAAAGACTTAATTATAGACAATATAATAAATTTTTATTATATATATAAATTTGTCTTGTATTTAAATTTTAAAAGTTTGGATAACTAAATAAATTTTCAAATATATATTTTTGATAAATAGTTTTGTCATAACAAAAATAAAATTTAGAAATTTTTTTAAGTGTAGAAAAATAAGTTATTCATATAAACGTTCACATTAAAAAATTTTATACGGTAATTATATATTTTGTAATATAATATTATATATGATATATAATTAAAAGTATGACGACAAAATAGTATTTTTAAAATTGTTTTTTTAATTCAAAACAACTTCTAACAGTGTCTTGTGAAGAAGTATTTTTCAATTAAATTTTGATCAAAAGTTTTTTCAAAATTAAAAATATAGTGGTAAATTTGTTTCAATTAAAAATATGATAAATAACATCTATAGTTCCTAAATTTTGAAATAAATTTTATTTTGATTTTTAAGTTTTAAAAATTTTAATTAAGTCTCAATTAGCTAAAATTATTTTATTTTGATCATTTTATCAGAGAATCATTTAAATTGATGATAAATATCAGTTGACGTTATATGAAATTTTATAATATTATAATAAAATTTTTTATATGAATATAATTAAAAATTTAGGATAAAAGAAGAAAATTTGTTAGTGTACATTGAGATCAAACTCTAATTTTGCAAGATTCACCTTCTGAAAAAACATTTGTGAATCATTTTGACTAAATCTCAAATTCAATAATATTTTATTTAAATAAGGGACACAAATATTATTATTTTTTAAGCGTGAAAAACCATGACAGCTACGTGCCACTTCAAAAACCTCAACAGGCATTTTGAATCATCTCAAATTACAGGGTACTTTTATATAATTTATCGTAAAAATAATTTTAATAATATACTGCAATAGCTGTGATTGTTAAAAAGAATTTGAGATTATATTCTAAAAAAATTGGACTTCAATTTTGGTTTTTCAAATACTTTTTTGTTTTATTTTCTTTGTTCATATGTTTTTTTGGATCATTTCAAAATTATTTTTTTAACATGTAAAACTTTTAATTTTTTTATTTTTTAACAATAAATATGATAAAAATTTAATTTTTTAATTTTTTAATTTTAATACTACATGCGTTAAAGTAAAAAAATTTTTAAACTGTGACGAATGAACGAGGAACGTTCAATTTGAGATGGGAAAGAAAAAAAATCTTGGAACCAGCGCGTCCAAAGAATATGACACAGAAGGCGATAAATTCTACCTGCCTTATCCCAATCTTCTTGCAATACGGTGACAATTGACAAACACTATGGTTGTCGTGTCTGCGCTATTTCTTCGTGCGTATATCTTTCTCAATTAATCCTTTTTTTAATGAGAAAAACAAAACATAATTAGTTTCTTATTTTATCTTTTGAAAGCTGTCTCATTGCTTTTGCTGAATTATCCTCCTTTTTCCATCAAAATAAAGTATCCTTCTTTCATTGCTTCTGTTCACCAATCAACATGACCAACTTCTTGAACAAATAAACAAAGATGAAGAAACAAAACCCAGCGTCATCATGATGTCCATGTATATTTGTATTTATTTTTCTAGTAAAAATTGTAAAAAAGAATTTTAAATTAAAAAGGATCCAATAGTTTTGGATACTGTAGGGGCAAGTTGGTGAGTGGTGACACATCAAGGAGACTTGAGACTTGATCCGACAGACCGTCGTTAATTTATTTATATTTTTTTTGCTCTTCCTTTTTCTGCAATCCTTTAGTTTTGTTTTTCTGAAGTTATTCTGAACAAAAACAGGTAAAGGCAAAAAAAAAAAAAAAACGAAAAGAGTTTTGAGATTATCCTGTGTGGCCATGGCAGCTCGCAGAATCTCTTCATTGCTTACTCGTTCACTCTCTGCTTCTTCTTCTGCCTCTGCTTCTCTGCTTTCATCTCTAGGTGGCCCACTCATCTCTTTGATTCCTTTTTTTTTTTTTTACCCTTTCGTTTCTTAGTTTTGGTTCAAGTTTTCTTTTTCTTTTTTGCTTTAACGTTTTTGTTTTAGTGTTGCAGATACTTGAAAAGTGTCCTGATTTTTATTTAATATACTAGTTTCTGTTTGGTTGGTGAGAAACTGAAGAGTATAGAGGAAAAAGCCGGTTATTTTGGTCTAGATTTTTTTTTTTTTTGTGGGGAAAGATTCAAGCTTTATGCAACGAATTTTTGGAGATTCTGCATAACTTTATTTAAAGATCTGTTCTTAGAAGCTTTTGTCTTGGAAGGTTTGTCTATTATTTAATTTCTTTTCTTTTTGATCTGTTGTCTTAGTAATCTAACTAAATCTTGAGTTTATGTCCTGCTATTAAAAAAAAAAAAAACTAAATGCAAGAAGCTCTGTCACCTAAGAATGTTTGGGAATCTAAGTGATGAAGGAACAGAATTTTGGGTGATTTAAAAAGTCAACATCTTTTATAAATAGATAATTTTAGAAATAAAATAAAGTGAAATCACTTCTATAAACCGCAAAGGATTATCAAAATCCAAGGCCCTCTGAGATTTTTGGAGGATATGAAATACCAACAGGCCAAATGCATTGAATCATAGATGACATGACCTCATCTGTAACAGATTCTGGAACATCATTTTTTATTCCAGGGAACTTACTTTTTTCACATGTGCCGTATTTCTTTTTAGCAATAAATGCATTAGTCTGTACTCTAGTTTTCTTTCTAACAGGATTGTGACAGTCTATTGACTCCCTGTTTTTCAATTAATTTCCCTCTTTTCACAAAATTTTGTTGTGCAAAAAACTTACTTGACTGTAAAACTATAAATGTTCCAGGGACAAACAGTTGCAGAAATGGAAGTATCAAGAGGTGTAGCACTGCTGCAGCTCTGGAGGAACTGATTTTTCCACCAGTTCAAATTTCTTACACTCAGAATCTAATTGATGGGAAATTTGTAGATGCAGCATCTGGTAATCATTCTTCATCAAACAAATTAGTTTAGTTTTTGAGTTGTGCTATTGACAAGTTGTGCAATTAAGCTGATGCTAGAAATTATTTACACATTGAACAGGGAAAACATTCCCCACCTATGACCCTCGTACTGGAGAAGTGATTGCACGTGTTGCTGAAGGTGATGCTGAAGATATTAATCGTGCAGTTGCTGCTGCTCGCAAGGCATTTGACGAGGGACCATGGCCAAAAATGAGTCCATATGTAAGAATTCCCTCTTCCATCTCTCTATCTTGTTGCATTTTGATCAAGGATGGCTTTATAGCGTGATGAATTTCTGATTTTTTAATGCTTTTGTTTCAGGAACGATCACGGATACTGTTGCGCTTTGCTGATTTGGTTGAGAAACATAGTGAGGAGCTTGCGGCTTTAGAGACATGGAATAATGGAAAGCCTCATGAGCAGGCTGCTAAATCTGAATTGCCATTGCTGATACGTCTTTTTCACTACTATGCTGGTAGGATCACTGAGACAAATTAAATTTCATTTGGTTTGTCATGTTTTTATTTTTTTCATGACTTTACCGGCCAATGATCCAGGTTGGGCAGATAAGATCCATGGGCTAACAGTCCCAGCTGATGGACCTCACCATGTGCAGACATTGCATGAGCCAATAGGTGTTGCAGGACAGATAATTCCATGGAACTTTCCTCTTATCATGTTTGCTTGGAAGGTTGGGCCTGCATTAGCATGTGGCAATACGATAGTCTTAAAGACTGCTGAGCAAACTCCTTTGACTGCTCTCTATGTGGCTAAGCTGTTCCATGAGGTAAGGATAAGAATAATCAGAATTATTAGATTATCTTTAGAATCAAGAGTTGAATAAAAATGTCTGAGCGCCTTATAGTTTCTTGCTGGAATTAAACTAGCATTAACTCAAATAGAGATAAATACAATGTTCTCTAAGTGTTATTTTATTAAAAAGGAATCTCCAAATATATAGAAGAATCGATATGTACAAAGAAATCCATAAAATCATGATATAATCATTTAAACATAGAAAGAAATAAAGGACCAAAAATATAAATCCCAACAAATCAGGAAATTGATCCTCATTTGATAAATAATCTATTAACACTCCCCCTCAAGCTGGAAAATAGATATTTATCATTCTCCGCTTGTCAACAAGAGTCTCAAAGCTTGGTTTATGTAGTTCCTTTGTTTGGATATCTGCTAATTGTTGCTTTGTAGAAACATAGGTCATATAGATCACTCCAATATCAGTTTTCTCTTTGATAAAATGCCTATCAACTTCCACATGCTTTGTTTGATCGTGATGTACTGGATTATGAGCAACACTTATGGCAGCCTTGTTATCACAATACAATTTCATAGGGTATTCAGTTGTCATATTCTATTCTCCCAAAAGTCTCTTCATCTAGATAAGTTCACAAGTTCCTTGTTCAAGAGCTCTAAATTTTGCTTCTGCAGTACTTTGAGCAATAATAGATTGTTTCTTGCTCCTCCATGTGACAAGATTACCCCAAATCTTTGTACGATACCCAGAGGTGGATTTTTTGTCTGCAATTGATCCTGCCCAATCTGCATTTGTAAATGCTTCCACATTTCTTTGTTCATTCTTCTCAAACAACAAACCTTTACCAAGGGTGGCCTTCAAATACCTTAAGATTCGATACACAGCTTCAAGAAGCTCTTCGAATGGGGATTGCATGTATTGACTTACTACACTAAGTACAAAGGCAATATCAGGTCTTGTATGATACAATTAGATCAGCTTTCCAACTAGTTATTGATATCTCCTTTATCTACTGGAATTCCTCATTTCTTTCCAAGTTTCACATTAGGATCTATAGATGTATTAACTGGTTTACAGTTAAGTATACTAGTTTCCTTCAAGAGACCAATCGTATATTTTTTTTGGGAAACAATAATGCGTTCTTGCTCTTTGCAACTTCCATCCTTAAAAAATATTTTAGTTGTCCAAGATCTTTAAGTTCAAATTCTTTTCCAAGAGTCTTCTTTAGCCTTTCTATTTCTTCAGTTTCATCACCTGTCAATGCAATACCTTCAACAGAAGCGATCAAAATAGTCTTTTTTCCATGTTGTGAGTGTTTAAAAAAAAGAGTCTGATCAGTTTGTCTCTGGCTAAATTCATGTCTCCTTATTGACTTTACAAAGCGATCAAACCAAGCCTTTGGTGACTATTTCAAACCATAGAGAGACTTCATCAGTTTGCATACCTTCCTGTCGATTATTTTCCCCTTCAAAGCCAAGAGGCAGGTCAATATAAACTTCTTCATCCAGCTCCCCATTAAGAAAGGCATTCTCAACATCCATTTGGTGTAATGGCCAATCAAGATTAGCAGCTAGTGAAAGCAGTACCCTTATAATATTCAATTTAGCAACCGGAGCAAAAGTTTCAGTGTAGTCCACTCCAAAAGTTTGACTAAATTCCTTTGCAACTAAGTCGGCCTTGTGTCTTTCTATTCCAACATCTGAATTATACTTAATAGTAAACATCCACTTACATGCAACTAATGTTTTTTCTCTAGGTAACTCCACAACATCCCAAGTCTTGTTCTTTTTCAAAGCTCTCATCTCTTTAAGTATAGTAGCTTCCTATTCTAGGACTTTTAGAGCTTAATAAATATTTTGTGGGATTTTAGTTACCTTAGTCTTTTCTATCATGGCACGAAATGCAGTAGACAAATGACTGTAGGATAGATAATTAGACAACGGATGTTGAGTGCTCGATCGTACACCTTTCTTGAGTGCTATAGGTTAGATCGTCAGATGGAGTATTCATTGATGAAGGTGCGGTAGGTAAAACATTTTTTGATTCAGAATTTACTTGTAGATCAATGTTCACTGGTGATGGTGTTATAGGCTTAGCATGTTTTGATTTAGAATTTACTTGTGGATCAGATTCTTGACAATGCGGCTAGGGCACAAAAGTTTGTACTTCCTGAGGCTATGGTTTACATTGTGAATAAACATGGAGCTTTATTTTTTGTTGAGGACTAAGTATAGATGAATTTGTCTTTGTTTCCAACTTGGCTTCTGTTGGTGACACAATAGGAATAGTAGATGTTATAGAAAGTGGAATGAAAAATCCCAAAGCCAATCTTCACCTAGTATCTCCTTTTGAAGAGTTGGTTTCGTGAAATTTTCAAAGAATGTGACATCTAATAAGACAAATGTTTGTTTTGTGGATAAATAATAGCACTTATACGCTTTTTGAATAGGAGTACCCAATAAAGACACATTTTATAGCTTTAAGTTATAGTTTCCCACGAGATGGACTTTTATTTTGAACAAAAGATGTGCAACCAAAGACTTTTGGGGGTAAAGAAGTAAACAACCTAGTTTGTGGATATGATTCAAGTAACATGTTCAATGGTGTTTTGAAATTGAGAACTCTACTAGAAAGTCTAATGATCAAGTATAAGGCTGTTAAAATAGCATCTCTCTCCCCAAAAAAACTTAGGGACATTATTGGTAAACATGATAGCATGAGTAACTTCTAATAGATGACAATATTTACGTTCTGCAGCCCCATTTTGTTGAGAGGTGTTAACACAAGAACTTTGGTGAAAAATTCCATTTTCTTTTAGATAATCACTAATGATTGAATTGAAGTATTCCCCCATTGTATGTGCGGAAAATTTGGATTTGAGCTTGAAATTGTGTTTGAATCATTTTGTGAAATTGCTGAAAAATTGCCTTAGCATCAGACTTGTCTTTTAATAAGTAAACTCAACAAGCTCATGTGTGATCATCTATAAAAGTTATGAACCACCTAGTTCCAGTTATGTTATTTTCCTGTGAAGGTCCCCATATATCACTATAAACTAAAGAAAAAGGTTTAGAAAATCTATGTGGATGACTAGGATAAGAAACATGAGTGTGTTTGGCAAGTTGACAAGTTTCACAACGAAAGGAATGGACATCTTTATTCTTAAAAAGAGAAGGAAAAACAGTTTTTAGATTTGGAAAACTAGGATGTCCTAATCTATTGTGCCACAACATAATTTCACTGTAAATAGAAACAGATTCACCACTTAGAGTCAAAGCTTGTTTATTCACTTGTTGAGGATCCTTAAGATAGTACTTAGCCACACAATTCAAGTCCTTTGTCAATTTACTAGTAAACACTAAATTATGTGCTAAATTAGGAACATCCGAAATTGAAAATAGTGTCATATTAGAAACTTTAACGTTTCCTTTTCCTGCAACAGAGGATAGTGGTCCACAAGCAATGCAAATATGAAGGTTTCTAAGACATGGATTATATGTTGAAAACAATTTATGGCATCCGTCATATGATCGGACGTCCTAGAATCTATAATCCACAAATTCTTAGAATCTGACTTTGCACCCAAAGCAGAGAGATGGTTACTTTTTTGTGCAATTGTGCACTTTGGAGTAAGTGTACTAATTTGTTCAGAAATCACCCCTGATCCACGCTCTGGAAAAGCACCAATTATGGCTGTTTTGGCCATTAAAAAATAAAAAAAAAAAGAGCAAACTTTCCTCTAATACCATGAAAATAGAGATAAATACAATGTTCTCGTGTGTTATTTTATTAAAATGAAATCCTCAAATATATAGAGGAATCAATATGTACAAAGAAACTCAAAAAATTAGGAAACAATCATCCAAACATAGAAAGAAACAAAAGACCAAAAATATAAATCCCAATAAATCAGGAAATTGATCTTGATTTGAAACATAATCTGTAAACATTAACTGTCTTGGAAAGAGATCTCCTTCGGTACTTCTACTCAAAGTCAAAGGATGTGCAAATACATAAGCATTCAAGACGAACCAAAAAGCGCTTTGTATTATGTAATGGCTTCCTGTTACATAGGATGTTGAATATATTTTGAGATGTTGTTCTCTTCAAAATTACCTTAATCACTTTCACATTTCCTTAATTCATATTGTCACCACTTTTCATAACTGAATTGTTTTTGACAGGCTGGTCTCCCTCCAGGTGTTCTGAATGTAGTTTCTGGCTATGGTCCAACAGCTGGTGCTGCTCTTGCGGGTCACATGGATGTAGACAAGGTATCATAATTCTTCAGTGAGATTGGGAATTTCTGCCTTCAATCTCAATTCATAAGTACATATTATAATATAACAGCCTACAGTGTCACATATTACCTTTGAATCCATAGAGGAAGAGAGATGGTAAGGTACATAAATGATGTCTGCTATAGTTGAAATCAGTTGACTCTTTCTTGTCTGGTCTGGTAGCTGTTAAATACAGGTAAATTTTTCCAGTAGAACGCACAATTGAATTCTGTTTCTTAAGTTGCGGTGTGCTTCCTACCAAAAGAATAAGTTACACCTATGGACTCCAATAAGGTCAAAGAAACAATCTTCATTGGGCTACAGCTGAATGGTAACCGAATTGAGAGTTTGGGCTGTTGTGTTAAGAGGCAGCCACAAAAATAATACCAACTTAAGAAGATAGGTTCGCTAACTTGTTCTGTAAAATGAAACCATGATTTGACTCAGAAATACTTTGCCTGCATTTAGCGTTTAATTTGTCCCCTTTCTTGTTGGATGTTGAGTTCCATGGGTTGATGAGTTGACACACCATAAAGAATTGCCTTAAGGACCCTGATGTTTAAACATTTCAAGTATTTCATTTTTGGTCATTAGCACTTGTTTTTTGTGGGAAGCTGGAAGGCTTCTGCATCTGTAGCAGAGGTGCCACTTGTGTAAGAGTACAAGAACCACATATCTCAACAGAAATTTTGCTGCAGCTGTTGATGTGCACTATAAGCTTTGCGTATATGCTTTTGAAATACCAATGATTAATGCCATTAAAACTTTAACTGCTGCAGGTTGCATTCACAGGGTCAACTGATACTGGTAAGATTGTGCTTGAATTGGCTGCAAAAAGCAATCTTAAGCCAGTAACATTAGAGCTTGGTGGGAAATCACCTTTCATAGTATGCGAAGATGCTGATATTGATAAAGCTGTGGAGCTTGCACATTTTGCTTTGTTCTTTAATCAGGTTTCTTCGACGAGTTTCTTCTGTATGAAATTTGGGATGCTGATACACAGTAGACTTATGTAATGCTTCTTTCTTCAGGGGCAATGTTGCTGCGCTGGGTCTCGCACTTTTGTTCATGAACGTGTATATGATGAGTTCCTAGAGAAGGCAAAGGCACGTGCTTTGAAACGTGTTGTGGGTGATCCCTTCAAGAAGGGTGTTGAGCAAGGTCCACAGGTACTCCACCTGGCCCCATCTCTCTCTCCTTCCCTCCCTGGATGTGTAACCAGAAGAACTTGATTGTCTGTTTTAGATAGGTCATTACAAGCTTCTTCGCTAGTTCTTAGTTTGAACTGCAATGCTGTCTAGAACCGAATCTTATACTTGCAAGCTGACATTATGAAATTCTCAAAGTTATTCTAAATGTATATGACAATATGAAATTCTAAAAGTTTTTCTAAATGTGTACGAATATTTTATCATTTGATAAAAAAAACATGAGCTGATGAGCTGATGTACTGTGAGCTAATGTCTCTATTACTCTCATGAAAATCTCAGATTGACTCCGAGCAGTTTGAGAAAGTTCTAAGGTACATAAGATCTGGCATTGAAAGCAATGCAACCCTTGAATGTGGAGGTGACAGACTTGGTACAAGAGGCTACTTCATCCAACCAACTGTTTTCTCTAATGTTACGGTAAAAACTTTCATTCCTCTGCAATAAATACTTGTACCATTGGTTATTAAAATACTACCTAACACAATACTTGCATTCTTCTCAATAGGATGATATGTTGATAGCGAAGGATGAAATCTTTGGTCCAGTGCAATCTATCTTAAAGTTCAAGTAAGTGAAGAACTTTTCCAATCACATATTCCTCAATAGAATTGAATTGCCACAATTATTTATGTTTGACCTCTAATCCTAAACAGATGAAATAATTTCATTTCAAAACCTATTTCATTTGGTCATGAAAGATGAACCATTTGTCAAATTACCGATTATTTGATTGCTACAAAAATAAAGAGACTACTTTTAATGAATTTTCAAGTTGGTGCAAAGAGAAAAAAACAAATCTCTAATGCCATGTCATATGAAAAATAAGTTGATATGTATAATCGTTTATTTGACATTAGTGAAAAAATTGTATCAGGGATCTTGATGAAGTAATTCGAAGGGCAAATGCAACCCGCTATGGTCTCGCTGCAGGAGTTTTCACCCAAAATATGGACACTGCCAACACCTTGACTCGAGCGTTGAGGACTGGGACTGTATGGGTTAACTGCTTTGATGTGTTTGACGCTGCAATTCCTTTTGGTGGGTACAAGATGAGTGGCATTGGCAGGGAAAAAGGGATCTACAGTCTTCATAACTATTTGCAGGTGAAAGCAGTTGTTACTCCTTTGAAGAATCCAGCATGGTTGTAATTTTATGGCATATACCCGCCTTTGAACCTGCTTCTTATGTCTTTAAAATCTTTGTTTTGTTTGGAAACTTAATTACTATAATAAAGTTAGCATACAGTGCTCAGTTTCTAATTATGCAATGAAGGGAAGTCGTCACTTGGATCAAGAAAACCATCGTCTTCTTTTCTTGATCGCTAAAAGAACGTGCTGCATTTCTTGCCTTGGGTTGGTATACTATACTATCAACAAATGGAACAATATATTTTCCCTGCGCCCCTTGTAATTTGTTCCTTGCTTCTTTCTTCTTGCATGTAATAAATTTTTTTTTGTTTGAGAAAGAGGAGATACCAATGTTACTCTTTTCATTTAAGTTAAATGCTCGGGTGGTGCTCATAATAATAAAAATTAAAACATGGCACAATGTTATTTTGGTCAAAATTTTTGTTTGAAACCATTCACAATGATAAAAGATGTAAATTAATTTAAAATTTAGTGGGTGTTTATTATCTATCTTTAATCATGAAGTTTTCAAATTAAAAGGGTAAATCAGAATATATTGCATTTTCACGAAATAAGAAGGGATTATGGAAAAGAATGGTAAAAAATAAATAAAAATCACTGGAATATTCCTTATGTTACTTTACTGAAGCTGCGTTTCCAAATTAATTGATTAACGATGTAAGTATGGGTGATAATGAATGGGATTTGATTAGATTATTGTAGTTTTGTGATCAATATATAATATTATGAATTTTAAAAATTTAATTTGAATTCAAATTAATTTTTTAAAAATCAATGAGTCCTTAGCTTAGTGATATTTTAAAATTTTAAGATCTTAAGATCAAATTTTATTATGTGTGAGTTTAATTTTTTAATTAAGTTTTAATTTATTAATTAATTATTTAATAATATAATAATTGATTATATGAACATAATATTTAATTATGTTATAATTTAAAAAAAAAAACTATTTTTTAAAAAAATTGAATTGATTCAAATCAAATACATCAATTCGGTTGTTTGAAAAGTTAATTATTTTTAATTATTATATTATTTTTATATTATTTTAAATAAATTTAAATAAATTTAGATATAAAATAATTATTTTAATTTTATAAAAATTTAATATATATAATTAATAAAAATATATAATTTGATTTAAATATTTTTATTTTTATTTTTAATTTTTATTTAAAAATCGAATCAAATTGATTTAAAATATAAAATATTTAAATTTTAATCGAATTAAATAAAAAAAATCGATATAAACACTAAAATTTAAAATCGATTTTCAATTTTGTTTTCTTAACCTTAAATGTACTAAGCATGGAAGAAAAAAAAAATGGTCAAAGAAAGGACTACTTAAACGTTACATCAACATCAGATGGCTTTTATGGCTTGTTGCAAATATTGTACTACAGTAAAATAAAGGAACCATTTCTGATTTACAGTTCGAGGGAATTAGAAAAAGGAAGTATTATAAAATTTTTTAATTTTAGTCTGATGAAAAAATGAAATTACTCAAACAGAAATAATAAATTTTAAAATGAATAAAAAATGAATTTACTCTTTTAGCCTTACTAAACTAAGAAGAAAGAATAATCATTTTCCCTTTCTTTTTTAGATTTGGCAGGAAACAAAAACCAACAACAAACCCACTTCCCACGCTTCTTCCCTTCCCTCCCCGTGGGAGTAAAAATCTTCACACCCTTTCTTTACTTCGTTTCCATACAGAAAAACTCACCAGCTGTCGCCACGGTTTTCAAAATCAAATTTGCTTCTGTAAAGGTAGTGAATGAATCCCTTATTTAATTTCTTCTTCGTTTTCTATTTATTATTGAGATTCAATCAATTCCTTGCGTAATTTCTTTTTTTCTTTATCGTTGAAATTCAAGTCATAATGGAATAAATTGTACAATCTAAATAGATTTTACTGTTTTTTATTTTTTATGAAGCAATGGGTTTTATGACGTTTTGGTCTTAGAAGATAGGAGACATTGTTAGAAGGAATGTGTGCTATGTGTGGTCCTTGTATGTCTTCTTATTTGTATTGTTATTGTGTGTGTTTTAATTGTACAGTTTGGACATATTAGAGTACTAAAAATCAAGGGTTAGGAGGATATGGTGTAATATAAATCATTTTGTAGCCTTAAACAAATGTTTATAAGAAATGAAGTAAATAGAATGAATGTGTCTTTAGTTATTCATTGGAAAAAGAAATGGAATTGAATTTTACTAGATTTATATTAGAGAAAAGTCCATGAGTTAATACAATAACTTTATTAAACTCTTAACTTGTTGTAGGTGATAAGAAAATTATTTCTTTTGCTATAATTTAATGTACATATATTAATTCTCAATGTACATGTATGTTATTTATAATGTATAAATAATTTTGAGACATTTACGTATGTTATAATTTGGGGTAAATGGCCATAAGCTATGGTTTGCATATATAATTAATTGATATATAATTACAATATACAATATTTATGGTCAATGTACATATATTATAGTTAAACTTATCATTTAATATAATTAGCTTTGGGTTTGCTAAATATATCGCTTTTAGCATATATATAACCATCAATGAACCTTAAACCTTGCAGAAAACTAATATTGATGTATTGAGAACTGAAAACTAGTGATTCAAGTGGTAGCATAAAATTGTATTGTTTTTGCCATTTGATGGTGACTTTATCATTAATAATGACACCTGCATAGATTATACCGGAGGAAAAGCAATTGGAGTGATGTTGAATGAGAATACTAGCTTTGAAGAATTAGTGCAAGAGATTGGGGAGAAATTAGGTAAGAATGTAAAGGGAAAAGTGTTTCAAGTATACACTGGATTTTGACAAACAAAACTTGTTGATTCTATTAATGATGTTGGTTTGAAAGATTTGCTATAATTCAGTGATCAGTTTTCAAATTTGTATATATCTCCCACCAAAGTTGTAAAATCTACGAATCAAACTGTTGAAGATGCCGTGAATGCATGTGAAGAATCTGCATGGTAATTGGCATTATTTAGTTTGGCATCCTTCTACATTGTTATGGAATATTCGTTTTGGTTATAAACAGAAAAGTAGCTAATTCACTTGTGTCTTGTTACGAAGATAACAAGTATTCTTGTCGAGCAGTTGTACCCAGTTTAGGGTCTTCGATTGTTGTTCAATGTATTGTTGCCAGTAAAACTCAGTTCATGAGCGAATTTTGGAAAAACAAGATCTTTGGTGGTGGTTAGAATTTCAAAGATGCAAAAACCCTTAGGCTGGCCCTTTTCGGTTTTAGTGTTGCAAATGGATTTACCTATAAAATTTAGAAGAATAGCAAGGCTTTTATTAGTGTTGATTGTAAAGCACAAGAGTGTCCTTGCCATTTAATATCTTCGAAGATGCAATCTACGGATTTTATGGTTGTCGGAACATTTATCAACGTCCACAACCACTCAGCCCAAGATGTAATTGAAGGTAGACCGGTCTCAAAGTCCAAATTTGCTGCTGCAATAATTTTTGAGAAATTAAAGCTACAGTCAGACAATAGACCCTATCAAATTCGAGCTGCAGTTGAATCTGAAACGTGGATTATCAATGACCTACTACCAAGCATGATAATGCAAAGAGCAGACAATAAAGCTCCTTTGTGGAAATCTGAGAACTCGAATAAATTAATTTCATGGTTATGTCAACAATTAAAGGAGGCAGATCCGCAAAGTGTGATAGAGTGGACGTTTAATATACATAATCATTTTAAGCGTCTGTGGCATATAGATGCTTAATAATAGGGTTTTTGCATAGGTGTCTAAGGTTGATTTTCATTGATGGTTGCCACTCGAGTGGACCTTCCTGGGAACTTTATTGTCTGCATTTGCATTGACAGTTGATGCAGATAATCAACTTTTTTCACTCATGCAATAGTTAGCTTTGAAAGTTTAGAGGATCGGATGTGGTTTTGGAGAATTTAAAGTCTTAAGGTCACCAGACATGTGCATGTAACCATTAGTTCTGGTAGGAACCAAAATATCATGACAAGTGTAAAGTAGATTTATGGTTGGATAGTCATGCATGCTGTTATAGACATTTTACGGAGAACTTTACTGATGAAGTAAACAAATTGATACATAAGGGCAGAAAAATGAAGGAGCATGCCCTACAATTGTTGGAGGCTGCGATGTATACAAGATTCGAAAGAGTATTAAAATGTTATATTAAGAAATTTGTGTATGTATAAGAAAGAGCTAGCTAAATGGGTTTTAGATAATCAAACAGAACATTGAATGATGTTAAAATTCGCACAGCCTCATTGGGATCACGTGACTAGCAATGTTGCTGAGTTTTTCAACTCTTAGCTAGTCAAGGAAAGATGATATTGCATGGCTTTCCTCATGAATGGACATAGAGAGAAGTTGGCACAAAAGATATATAAAACGAAGTCTGAAGTGAAATCATGTTAAAATGGTATTGGGCACAACATTGAGGAGAAGTTACCAAAGAACGTTTGACGAGGTAAGTTTTTCAATGTTTCATGTTATAGTGATTTCACTGCTAAGGTTAGTAATGGCAACAAAGACTTGGTTGCGAACTTGGCTAATCGACAATGCACATGTTTTGTGTGGCAATTATGTGGAATTCCTCGTGCACATGCTTGTGCTGTCATTGAAGCTAAACATGTATCCATTTATCAGTTTGTGGACGACTGTTATAAAATAAGTAAGCAAAACTCTATTTATGCTCTGACAATGGCTCCTTTGGAGACTCATAACATGCCTGAGATTAACAGCTTGAACAGCCTTAATAATGAATTATCTTTGTTGCCTCCTATGACCAAGAGGTCACCTACGAAATAAGCCTCACATTCACTTCTGGTCTACTTGTGGGAGCAAGAATAGTTCCCATAGCAAATAAAGAAGAGTTTTTTTCTAATAATTTAGGTCATTGATATTACGTAAGACTTTCAATAGCATTAAATGATGTAAGGCTCAAAAAATTTTCACTCCAACTATTCAATACCTTAATATCGTTGCCATTATCTTTCAGCTCCTCGCTGATACATAGCAAACTTAATACTAAACCAACATCTGTCCCTTTAATTAACAAAAGTTTTCCTGACTGTTTTAAAATTGAATGTGTAGGATCAAATTGATTGATGAGTCATGCACATAAAAAGTGGGAAAAAGTTATACATCTCAAATTTGCCGGTCAATCCACTACACCTTATTTTTTGCACAGTAGTTTCCTTTGTTGTATTTCTCCAAATAACATCATTTACAAGCCTGACAAATTTGTCAAGATCACACCTTGTTCTCAATTCTACCTCATACTATAATTTCATAATGTGAATATTAATTAATGTCGATACTTTTTTCATCCGAAATCTTTGAATTTTTTGGAATCTCTATGCTTATTTTTGGATTTTAGACCCATTAATAGACACGGGAGTTTTT